TATATTTGCAACACATCCTCATATATTTGCATTCGTGGACCTAGCTCATAGGTCTGTCTCAAGGGTTTATATGTGTCCAGGCCTACACAGACAGTAAAGTTATTCCAGTATCTAACATGCTTCTCTTGTACTTCCCACTGGTACTCAAAAGCTGTTCCCTGCAGGATATATGTTTTTTACTTTTTTTCAAAGCTTTTTACTGGCAAATGAGCAAATCCAAACCCACATGAGCATTCCACTTCTGCAAAATAAATTCAGCTTCCTAAAGCTCAATAGAGTAGGTGAGAAGAGTTTGTTAACATTCCCCCCAGAAAACAGTGTGACTAATGCTTATAAACAAATGTCCTTATGGCAATTAATTCCTTCTTTCTTTCTTTCTCAGGCACGCCAGATCTTGGACTTAACACCTGTGAAGGAGCTGGTGAGCCTGAAGTGGAATATGTATGGTCGTCCCTATTTCTGTTTCCTGGCTTTATTCTATATACTTTACATGGTCTGCTTCACTATGTGCTGCGTCTACCGACCACTGAAACCCCGAACAGGCAACAAAACAAGCAGCAGAGACAATACAATCTATGTCCAGAAAATGCTGCAGGTACTGTGTCTATAGGAGTCAGGGGCCCATAGGCAGCATTGGGCGAATTCTAATCTAACGTACTTAACTGGAAAGTCCAAGTCTTTTGCCGTTGCCAGCTCTTGCAGCTGTCTTCCTGCTCTATTTCCGCTAGCTGGCCTACGCCAGCGAGGAACGTTGGGCATGCTCTGTTCTCCCTTGCTGGCGCTGGGATGGCTCCTGTGACCTTGTCAGGCCCAGTCATGTTTACTACACTAACAGTGGGCCTTCTTTTCCCCCGTCTTCTGTTTTAGTTTCCTTTTGCTCCCTTTAAAATTTAATTTTAATTTCCTTTCACTCTTTTTTTTTTTTTTAAGGAATCATATATGACATATGAGGATGAGCTGAGGCTGGTGGGGGAGCTGATCACAATCATTGGAGCTGTAGTAATTTTGATCCTTGAGGTAAGAGAAACAGTGAGCTATATAGTCTTGAGGTTAATCAAGACAGGTTTTACTTACTAGACAAACATGAGTTTGTGCTCACAACTTGGTAGGGGTTATTTCCTTAGTCTAAGTGCTTTCATATATGTCTATGGCAATAAACACTGTCAAAAGTATCTATTGGATGAAACAGAGACTGTGACAACATAGTAGTGAGACTCTAAGTGTGGAAGAAGCAATTAGGAGGACTGGCTGCGCTATCAAATACTATGTGGCTAATGCCACAGTTCCCGTTAGCACCATCTGCGGCTCCAGCTGAATTCTGGGTGTTGCATGAGATTCTTAGAAATTTTTCACACAGCACCCCTAAATACTCATGTGTTTAGGGATGCTGGCTGAAGTACTGCGTGTACACAGAAAAGTTTATATTTAATTGGAGATCAGTGACTGTATGGGCCTATAATAGGAGCCTTACTCAACCAGAGTTCTGAGGTGGACATATTTAGGTGTTCTCCTTATCATGAGCTCTCAAAAAAAAAAAAAAAAAATCAAAAGTTCTTTAAATTAAAACAAATACTTTTCCCACTTGATTTTATTACAACATGAAATAGAAGACTGAAACTTTTATATGAGAAAACTCAAATGATGATTGCCAGGGTGAACTGAAGTGAAATGGGGCGTGTAAACAGCTTTCTCTCTGCCCATATATGTTCCAGAAGGACAGGTCCTTCTTCCTGTGTTTGGTCAGGACTCTGGGGCTACACTGCAACTAACATAGTGAGTCTGAATTCTAACAAACTCCTTTGATTACCCAAGAAGGTCTTTTTTGTCTTCACTTCGAAGGTCAGCTGTTTGTCTGATCTCTTCTCAGTAATCTATGTGAACTTCAGGCTCACAGCTCTGTGCTGCAACATCTCTCTGCCACATACCAAAGTCTCTCAATCTGTCCAGGTGTTCTTACATTTTCCAGCAACCTCTGTCACATCCTGAGAGAGCCCACCTGACTTAATCATTCAGTTTTTAAAGTACTATAGAAATCAAACTGTGAACAAAGCAGATGCAGCTGGGCCCAAGATCCTGTGAATATTGATGGTTACCGTGACATTTAATAGTATAATGGATTCTCTCTTAAGTCCTAAAGTCAACAGGATGTCTCTCTTAGATCCCAGATATCCTTAGAGTTGGAGCAGCAAAATACTTTGGACAAACCATCCTGGGAGGGCCTTTTCACATAATTGTGTAAGTACACTGCTTTTTAAGTCTAATAAATATGTTGCCTATCATTTTTCCCACTGCTGTCTTTTGCCACATGAGTCACTTTCTCCATTCTTTTAGAGTATTTCTTCTCTTGATTTACTTCTCTTGCTGGCTCAACTGGTGTGTAGGAAGCCAGGCGAATGGACAGGTAGAGTTGATAGTGCTGAGAGGTCTTTGCCTATGGGCCTCAAGGCTATATGTGCCTGTCTTGGAATTTTTGAAAAGAAAAGGAAAAGGAGGGTAAGATTCCTTTACTTATTTTTTTCACTGTCTCTTCTTCCTTTGCAGCATCACATATGCTTGCATGATTCTAGTAACCATGGTGATGCGTCTCACCAGCACAACTGGTGAGGTGGTGCCCATGTCCTTTGCCCTGGTGCTAGGATGGTGCAATGTCATGTATTTTGCAAGAGGCTTCCAGATGCTCGGACCCTTTACCATCATGATCCAGAAGGTATAAGACACAAACAAACATGGGCTTGTTACGCACATCCTGACACCTCTTTGCAGATGGGGAGAACTGAAAGAATACTTCTTCTCCCTCAGGACTAGCATTAATGGCTAATGGACAAGCTCTTATCTGCACAGATGGTTTGGGAATTTCACATTCTCTCTTTAGCGCAGAAGTTTCCCTTAGTCCATTCACAGTTTTAGAATCTGGAAAATGGTTTACACAGGGTTGAATTGTGGCTTGGTGGGACAGTTGGGCCTTATGGTGGCTCTGTCTTTGCTCTACAGATGATATTTGGAGATCTTATGCGCTTTTGCTGGCTCATGGCTGTGGTGATACTAGGTTTTGCATCAGGTGAGTCTACAAAAGAAAAACAGCATTATGTTACCCCTGCCAAATTCTTTAGTATGACTTAAGTACGTGGGTTTTGGTTTATTCTCAGGTTGCCCTTTGAGTTAGCTGGGAAAGGTGGTGATGATGTATAGCTTCTATTTCTTTGAGCATAGTCACTTTCCCAGTACTGATTTCTGTGTTTAGTTTTCAATTCTTGCTCTTTCCAGGCTAATAGAAATTAGAACAATTCAGATAATTCCACATATATGTAAATCAAGGTTGAAAAACATGCTGTGTTTATGATATTTGTCTTTGGAAAATGAAATTAACACACATAGCTTTATTATATCCTTGAACAAGAATAGATCACTATTTTGAGAAATAAATAATCAAAGTAATTCTGACTCATTTTATAATGGAGACCAGTGATTCTAGTCAGGGATTTGTCCTTGTTATGCTAGGTACTGCACTGACATAGGAACACATGCAGCTCCTTCCTACACCACTTTGTGTTGTCAGCATCTCTTATAGGACCCTGTTGTTGCTCTTGGAATGTGATTCCTATTGTTAAACTGTCTCTCTCTTTTTTCCCCCACTGCTTTCCTCTAGCCTTTTACATCATCTTCCAGACAGAGAACCCTGAAAACCTTGGGCAGTTCTACAACTATCCCATGTCCTTATTCACCACCTTTGAGCTGTTCCTCACTATCATTGATGGCCCTGCAAACTATGATGTGGACCTGCCTTTTATGTACAGCGTGGTATACTTTGCCTTTGCCATCATTGCTGCCCTCCTTATGCTCAATTTGTTAATTGCCATGATGGGTGACACCCACTGGAGAGTGGCCCATGAGCGGGATGAGCTCTGGAGAGCCCAGGTAATCTAATTTAGATGGTAGGGGGGTCACTTTGAATAAAGAAGGGGGAAAGTTGTCTAGGGGAAATATGCTAGACAGTGCAACTACTTACTCTGCCGTCTGTGCTCTAAAGGATGTACTTCAAAACTTTTCCCTGGCCTTCACTTTTCTCAGGGGCTAATACAGTAAGCCATCTCCTTTTAATTCTGTTTTACAGATTCTGTAGATCAGCCACCAAATTTCTTTCATCTTTTCTATGAGTTTGAAGTGTCTAAGTGCAAGACTACTCTTCTGCACATCTTCCCACATGAAACTGTCTTCCAGCATATCTTTGCTATGCGGGTATTCCTACCTTATTTCAAATAGCAGCTAGAAGCCCATCCAACCTTTCTTGTCGATCCTGTGTCTCCCTGGTTGACACATGGAATCTCTTGTTAAATAGAATTAAAGTTGCATCTTTTTTTACAAATCACATTTCTGTGTAACTGAGAGTTAAATTATAATTATAGGAATTGACTGAAGGGAGATGGAATGCAAGGTAATGGTTACAACTAGGTCAGTAACATCTTTAGATCCACTAGAAGAAATTGGCCTGACTCTTTTGCTCAAAAGGCAAAAAACTTCAGATCAGTTATACAGCTGCTCAATACGAAATCAATTTCCTAGTATTTTTCTGTGAGACAGCAATAAGTCAAATGGTTAAATGTAATTGTGTGGCCACATTGGTAAGTTCTGATGATAGTTAATGCAGATATAAATACTGTCCTCTTCTCTAGCTTGCAAATTAATTATCCTACTTGTTGCCATCAGGTATAAAAGGAAAGAAATTTAACAGTGCTTTAAGAGGATCATTGCTTCCTCAAAACATGGCACAGTTAGGACTAAAATAGTGAATTGCCCCATAATAAACAGAGTATTGACTCTGATTTTTCTTCATTACATGTGGAGCTGTAATGAAGTACGGTAACAGGTCAGTACTCATGAAACTGATAATTTTGAAAGAGAATCTGATTTTTTTCTAACAACTCATACAAGTTGGTGTTTTTTTTTGTTTTTTTTTTATTCTAAAGGTCGTTGCTACTACTGTCATGCTGGAGCGGAAACTGCCACGGTGTCTCTGGCCTCGCTCTGGAATCTGTGGGCGGGAGTATGGGCTAGGGGACCGATGGTATCTCAGGTGAATTCTCTTCTAGTGTGTGCACGTAAGGATCCCGGAAGAAGAATCCAATGTACAGATGTTAATAATGAGCCTTTCCAGTGGCCTGGGGAGGAGTGTTTGGAGTCCTTTACTTCCAGAATACAGACCCTAGTCTGTTTTATGTCTGTGATTGATAGACAAGCACTGTTCCCCTCAGAAAGCTCTGCTGTGTGATTCCTTGTGAAATCAGCTATGTTTTCTTATCCTTATTCTTAGTCACAGGAGACAGACTGCAGAAATTGCATGGGTTATAAGACTGAATTTTTCTTTCAAACTTCTTATCATGAGTATCACAATGCTTCACTGCTATGCTTGGCTGGCTGTCCCTATCTATTAGATACATGAAATGGCCGAGGCAGAATTAATTAGGCATTCAGCAGCAATGAACTGCACTACAGATGATTCAAAACCAGAACAGGAATAATTAAAGTCAAGGTTTCTTTCTGGTGTGAACCTAGTAACTATATTATACTTTGCAAAGACTGCATCAGGTGGCAGATGCTTAGGTCCAGGATTTCAGGCACTGAAATAACAAACAAACTATCTGTAGCCTAGATAACACTAGATTCCTCATTATTTCTGATTTTAATGAATATTTATTCCAGGGTGAGAAAAGATTAAACTTTATTTGGGCATGTGTCTTTTCTAACTGTGTCATCTTTTGCTAATAAAGCCAGAATCGGGAGTGGTGGCTGTATGAAATAGGACTTTCTGCAAGTTTTAGCAGAGAAACTAACCTTGTGGATATTCAGGTTTGCTGGGCAGAACAAGCAGACCTAAGGTGGTACTAATATGCAACACCTTCAGTCCAAAGTGCAGAATATAACTTTGCAAGTGCAATATCCCAGCAACAATTCTTCATTTAATGCTATGAGAAAAGAGTGTTGGTGTGATCTAGTTCTGTCAAATTACATGGATGTTCCTTGTATATATTGCGGGATAGTATTTCAGAAGACAAGTTATAAGTAACGTAGAGAAGGGTTGGTGGAACTGGAGCAGTTACATAGAAGTTCAGCAAAAGATAAGTGACATCCTGAGGCTAGCAACCATGGAGTATCAGAGGAGGAAAGACAAGAACAAAGGAAATGGATGAATATACATGTATATACAAAGAATCTGGAGCCAGAGTCAGGTGGGTCAGTCCAGTAGCTTACAGCTGACAAAATGGAAAGGGCAAATCATGACTGGGAAATGAGTTAAAGGACAGGATGTCATGGAAGGTAACGGTAGTGAAATCAATGACAGGGATGAAGGTCTAGGAGATAGCACCATGCCTATTAAGCAGTTTCCTGTTTCTGTGTAGATTTTCTGGAATGTTTGGGTTAGTAGGTATATTTTTGGGAGAGGCTTGCTTCATATGGCTGCTTGGTTTTGTTGATAAGCTGGCATGTTTCTACTTCATTCTCTTTATGGTTTTTAATCCTCTTACAGAGTTGAAGACAGGGTTGATCCTAACAAACACAAGATGATGCGGTACACAGAAGCATTTAAGGCTCAGGATAGGGAAAACTATGACAAAGGTTTGGAAAAGCTGGAAATCAATAGGAAGATCCTGTACAAGAAAGAACCATCTGCTTTTTTGTTGTCACGGAGCACATCCAGGACTAGTTCTCATCGTGGCTGGGAGATCCTGAGGCGCAACACTTTCCACCAGCTTCGTGGAGAGGTTGGTCATGCCATGGAAGAGGAGGTCTATGATGTCTAAGAAGCCTCTTTTACTCCACAGCACGGATCGCTTTTGCCACAACAGTTGTCTTCCTCCAACTGTTCATACACACTCCAGCATGCTACACAAATTCATCAGCCTTGAACAACTCTGCTGGTGAGCAGTTCATGGCATCTATGCTGTGATGAATGAACGCAGTCTTTTCTCTCCTACTTTTAAGTGTCCCTGCTGTTGCACTGCTTCTTGCACCAAGCTGGTGGACTTGTTGAGCTAAGGTCTGTGGTGGTTTGTTATGCTTTGTAATGCCCTACAGAAATGAGCAAAAGAAGCCAGGAATGGGATTTCATCCATTTACAAAGAAATGATCCGTAAGCCCTCTCCTAGACTGTTATATACAGTATAATCTCTCCTTCCACTTTCACAAAATCCCAATGCTCTCATAGCAAAGAGGGCTGACTGAAGTTCTGTTTTATGATTTGTTACAGAACTGAAAAACTTCTGCCCTGTAACTAAGCTCAGGAATGAAGTAGTTGCTGACACTGTGATGACTGACTGTAACTATTCAGCTGGCATTCAGGACCTGACAGATTTTGCCCTCTGAAGCAAGGCGGTCTCTATTAGCTGCATTTTCAACATTGCTACCTTAGCAGGACTGTTTTGGTTTTGATTTGGGTTTAATTTGGTTTGCTTGGGGTTTTTTGGTGGGTATTTTTGTTTGTTTGATTTTGTTGTCACATGAATGCACTTTAAGCTTTTGAAAAGCAGTGATTGCGATTCCTGGGAGGATTCTGAAGGATCAGAAGTGGGAACTTTTCCTAATGAGAGCATGTATGATCTGGTTAGCAGACTTTCAGCAGTGTGAAATTTCAGCAGAGCTGTTAATCTCCCAGGTGAGCTGAAGCTGGTCTTTTGTTTTCTGTGGAAGAGGAGGACTCTGAACCATAGTTCTCTGGCTTATTACTGACCCATCAAGGTTGGGTAGTGAGCTACAGTATACCACCGAAAGAAATGAAGAGGAAACAGATAAATGAGTAAGAGCTATTGCAGTGGCAGTTCAGAAACTGGTGCAGTCTCTCTCTCTCTCTCTCTCTCTCTCTGAAAGTCTAAAACTATCCAGTGAACAACTGAGTCATCCACATAGTTCCTTTCCAGGCATGATGCTGTGCCAGTCTGTCAGTTTGCCATCTGCCTAGGGCCATTCAAGACAAATGGAGAAATGTTCAGAGAAATGGACTGTCATTTCAGGGTGGTTTTTTTTTTTCTGTTCTCAGGAGTGTGGAGTTTCATTCCAGTAGCAGAAGTAAGTGGAAAGCAATCCATGGTCTTAACATTTCCTTCCAACAGGACTAGTAACAGAAACTGTTTTTGAAGAAACAAAGGATTATTTTCTAGCACTAGACTTTGAGCCAAATCACCCTGTGATAATCAAAGCAGATAAGGAAAAAGCTGAATCCAGCAGATTTCTGAGTATATTGAAATATCACAGCAAACATCTCCTACATCTCCTCTCTTGCACATGCTGCAATGAGCATCGTGATCTTTGCAGTTGTGTGGGTTTATTTAAATGTCCTCTTTCTCTTACTTGAATGTGTATTTATGCTCCAATGGAAGACTGACAGAAGACTGTTTCTCTGGAATTCAACTGCAGATTCTTGAGCTGACTCATTTTGTTGAATTGAAAGTATTGCCTGGTCTCTCTCGCTTAAGTACTGTCAGTCCTTCCCAAAACATTTGGGGTTTGTACTGGTGGTCTATGGAGAGGGTAACAATGTGGGACATTAACCAGAACTGTGAATTGCTGTCCTAATTATGGATGAATTTTCTTTCATACTGAATAGGAGATAGCAGGAAGGGGAGAACTGATGGCTTCCTCCTGTTCCCCCTGCCTCCAAGTATAGTTGTCTTTCAACTAGTTTGAAAACCTGCAGAAATACAATTAAGATGGAGCCACATATAGCCTTTTCTACAAAAGGACTCCTCTTTGTGACATCATCATCATCATCATCATCATCAACAACAACTAAAGTATAAGCTGTGTGAGCCCAGGTTCTGATTTTGTGTTCTTTTTCATTGCTATAAATAATAAAGTTTTGATCTTGGAACTCAAAACAACATATTGACATTGCAGGGGGCAGAACAGAACTCAGCTAACAGTGCTAGGCCTTTATAGATTTCTGCATCTGCTCTCCATAAAAAGAAAAGAAAAAATCCAGTAGGAGATATTTTAAGTAAAGTGTCTTCTCTTGTAAAATTACATTCTGTAATAGCTTTCAAACTCCTTGCACAGAACCCATGCACAGAACAACATCAGAACTGTGTGATTTATTTCCTGTCTTTGGAGTTGCCTAATGTAAATAAGATAGAGAATTATTGAATTTTGGGGGTTGGAAGTGACCTTTAAAGGTCATCTAGTCCAACCTCCCTGCAATAAGTAGGGACATCTTCAAGTAGATCAGGTTGCTCAAAACCCAATCCAGCCTGACCTTGAATGTTTCCAGGGATGGGGCATCTACCACCTCTCTGGGCAACCTGTTACAGTGTTTCACCACCCTCATCCTAAAAAATTTCTTCCTGATTGCTACTGGAATTTGGCTTCCAGTTTCCCAAGGTGACTTGCATATTATTTAAAAAAAAAAAAAAAATCCTGGAAAAAGACCTTATACAAAAGGGGGCAGAATATTTTACCAATAGTAAATGATTCCCCAATCAACTTTGCATAATCTTTTTGTTATTGATGAGTGGTGTAGACCCTTTTTAGCATAATTTATTTGATCTGGAGGATAAACAGCTATAGTTAGAAAATTTGAGGTGTGAAAAGTCAACAGATATAATGGGCACACCAGAAGCTGGAAATATTAAATATAATATGTAAATGTGGAATACCTACCCTCTTCCATTAGGACATATACACATGAGCTGTGCCCATGTGAACTTCAGATGATGAAGTAATAGGAGGCACTAGACTAACATTTGAGCTTGTTCAGTGCAATCTGTCTCAGGAACAGCAATGGCTACAGTCACACAAAGACAAAGCACGTGCTTCAGGATTTGCTTCATTTCTTTTCCATTTTGAATTATATCCTAAAATTCCAAAACAGTATTGCTCCTCCTTGCTGTTGCAAGGTGTCTTTCCCTCCTAACAATTTTGCAATAATTTCAAAGCAGACACATTCCTTCCCTCCTTGAAACTGCTAACCTCAAACTCTCTTCTATGTTACTGAAGCAACTTCTGAGTTTATGATAATGTGATAAGAATGAATGTTTTGATCCAGTTGCTTATCATAAAATAAGTATTTTGCTGAAAATAAAACTATTAAATATATGGAGCATCTTGTCTGTTTCTCTGTGTCTAAAATAAATATAATGGGCCAATTTTCTGTTTGTTTCTCTAGAAGCAATCATGGACATTAATTGACAAATAGTTTGGATTGTCATGTTTGGGTCCATGTTAAATTTTTTGGATTAAAGTTGTATTTCCATAGCAAACCACTTCAGAAATTTCTTTATACAAAATTTGTATAGAGTTTCAAATACTGTTTTCCAGTTCAAAATAAGAACAATCAAGGCCCTTATTTTTTAAAGTCATTTAGTGAAAACTGCAGTACAAGTTGTTTGGAGAAGGTCATATTTTCATGTTGGTGGAATGACCTATTTTGGATGGTCCTTACTATAGCTGCTTACAATAAAATACACATAGGTACAGAGGGTTTTCTCAGTAATACACATGCAAACCAGATACAGATAGCCCAGTTTTGTGTGTGTATAATTACGGTTTGCTGAAATTGATGTTTACGTCATTTCATATATGATCACTATGAGTTCCTTTCTAGCCTGGTTAAGGGCTTCATCTTATATTACACATTAAAGCAAACAAGGCAAAGAAACTGCAAGTCAGACTAATAGGATGAATCCTGATTAATATATTTCCATAAACTCCTACTGAAGTGTCTTCTGTACTCTTGAAAAACTCAGCTGTAAAAAAAGGGTCTTGCTTGTTTATTAGGTATCAATAAAGTTGCTAATACACTGAAACAATAGTTTAATTGGATTTTGTATTTGCACTTGTTTTTTCTTTTGTTTGCAATATCTAACTTTAGTCCCAGTGATATGTGCTATTTTTTTCAGATTTTTTGTAATAAATACAATAAGAAAACCATCCTTATGTATGTCTTGTATAGAAGTAAACAAGTTAAAACAACACTTAAAGTTGATTTTTGAAAGCTTGCTAAATGAGAATAAACAAATCCAACAAATATTTGGTTCATAGAGGATTAGGGCAATATTTAGAGCCATTAACTATTGATTTTAAGAATAAGGTTATTTTTATTTCTGAAATGATAGCATTTTAATCAAGGTCTTAACTGTGCACAAAGAACTCTTTGGCAACAGTTTTAGGCCTGCCTTGAGAAATCTGCAATCCAAGACAAGAAACTAGGGAAGACATAAGCAAGCATCTCTGAGATGGGCCATATGATAAGCCTCTGGTCTTGCTACTGTTTTATGTTGGATTGATAATGGCAAAGTATTTATCTGCTGCTATTTTTTCCTTTTGCTGCTCCAACAGAAGTATACTTTACCGTCATCCCCCTGCATATATGAAAACCTCGTCCTATTTATTAATAACACCTTCCTATTTATTAATCAAATGCATTGGTTGGCTGAAGTTCTCTTTTTCTTACAATGAATTAATTGAGACTGTATCTCAGAAAGAAGCAGAACTGGGAAAGAAAATATGACAGTGTACCATAAGCTCAACCAGCTATAGTATCAGAATTAATAATTTTTAAAAACCTCTGAGAAGTTCTCAGTTGATTGAGGAATTTTATAATAAAATATCAATAAATTAATTTTTTAGGGGGACAATATATGCAATAACATATTATTGGTATGGTCAAGCTGGACTAATGGCCGCTTGGAAAAACCATGCTGTGCATTGATTCTAGCCCCACTTCTGTCTGGGACATGGAGGGAAAGCTGAAGAGAAAGTGGTAGCTTCCTAGAATTCCCAAGGAGATATTTGGGCAAATGAAATGTCAGCA